AAAAAAAAAAAAAAAAAAAAAGACAGAGCCTCACTCTGTTGCCCAGGCTAGAGTGCTGTGGTGTAAGCTTAATCCACAGTAAGATCAAACTCTTGGGCTTAAGTGATCTTCCTGCCTCAGCCTCCTAAGCAGCTGAGCCTATAGGCACCTGCCACAATGCTCAGCTAATTTTTCTGTTTTTAACAGAGATGGGGTCTTGCTCTTGCTCAGGCTGGTCTTGAACCTCTGACCTCAAGTGATCCTCCTGCCTGGGCTGCCTAGAGTTATAGAATTATAGGCGTGAGCTGCAGAGCCACATGCCTGGCCACTCTTGGCATTATTTTTAATTGTTATTTTGGTTTTCTTCTTCAAAGAACCATATGAAGAATGAAACAAAGAATAAAAGACAAGACATTTCAAATTGCATGAGAGGCTGGGCACCCGTGGCACAGTGGTTATGGCGCCAGCCGCACACACATTGAAGGGCCAGTGGTTAGCCTCAGGCAGTGTAGGGAGAATCTTCAGAACATCCAGCAGGGTCAGCAGGTCACCTGTTTTCATCATTCTTAGATGTGTACTGGCCATAGAGTGTGGCTGCTCTTCGGTCCACTCCATTGGATGGGGAGATGCTGGCATTCTGCTCCTCCCCCATGCTGCTGTCTGGGAGATGCAGCACAGACCTCTTCTGATAGGAAGGTAGGTTGGTAGATAGAATTCTTGGGGAACTCGATGGATGTCTTTGGGACTGAAAAAGACAGAACAGGAGCTAGGAAAGCTTTATAGACACTTGATGCCACTGATGCAATAATTTCATGTATTAAAATTTATCTCAAGAGCAAAAAACATGTAAGATCTGACAATCAAGTTCATGGACTCATCTTAGAAAAAGTGCAACATACTTCATTGCTGAGGATCAACAAATGTATCTGGTATGTTTGCACATATTGTGTGCTTGGTAAATGTTTCTTAAATCAGAAATAAGAAATGGGGTGTGAGAAGCAGAGAGTATTTAGTTCTAAAATATTTTTATGATAAATGCTACTTAAATCAAACAGGAAAAGTGACTGTGAACAACTGAAAGTAGCATATTTTGTTGCTTTGAAATATTTTTAATTTCTCTCTTTGCTTATTTGTCTGGGGCAAACTTGGTCTTAGCATTCCCCTCCTCCCTTATATGGTAAGAGATCAGCGGAAACCGCAGAGGCACCGAGATAGAAAAGAACCTAGTAATTTCTCCTGGATGCAGGGCGCTGAAACATAAGTATTAGGTCACTGCGGTGAAGTGAGACACTCAGAAAGTATTCAGTCACTTGGAACTTTCTGCCCTGGACCCCCAGGGCATGACTTGTCCTTTTTCACCATTCCCTCTGGCCAGAAACCCAGCTGGGTCCTGTTATCTATGGCTGTGGGCCCCACCTGACTTAGCACCAAAAACCTCAAAAGTAGCTTGCAAGGGGTATTGCCAACTCACGCGGTCTATTCTCGGTTCTTCTTTAAGGTCCACTGTTACCCTTTCCCACAGCTGCTGCCACTTCTCAGGAGTTTGGTTCAATTTATGTTCTAATTTTTCAATTTCCTGTAAAGAAATGGAATTCTCCAATAGATCAGTATTTTGCAGAGATCAGGACATGGCCCAGAGCCACACTGCTTCTGTATTGGGCCCAGATGAATATCGTGGTTAGAGGATGGCTGAGGAGAATGGGTGGACATGAGCTTCAGAGGTCTCCCCAGCCAGGAATATGGTAGGAGTTCTAGTTGGTGTGTTGCACTGTGGCAGAGATGGTTTATTAGGACCTATACCCAGGCTTTTCTGCACAGAATAGCTTATACAATGAGATATGAAACATGTATCCCAAATACCTTCAACTGTGTGCAGCCATAGGAAGTCTGATGGCCAAGGCAAAAGGTTAAGCACTGGGTGAACCCTATTAGATGAGCTAGATCAGAAGTCTGTCCTTGATTCATTTTCCATATGGAAAAAATGAACCAAGAAATGCTCAAGGAAATGGATACTCCTTTTGACAAAGAAACAAGAGATCAGAGCAGCTGCCTCTGGGAAGGTATACTCTGCCTGGTCAGAAGATCAGAGAAGACTAGACAAGACTCTTTAGGAACTTTCTGACGCATACCAGGGCTCAAAACCATTCTACGGAGTGGCTACTGCCAGGATGGTTTTGCTTCAGAATATTCCTTGCATAAATGTGGTTGGCAATACTACCATCTGGCCATCAACTACCCACACTTCTGACCAGAGGAAGTAAAGCACCCACAAAAGCCATTGCCTACGCTTGACTCAGGCTGCTTGGGCACATCACACAGCTGGGAAGCTGCCGGAAGGAGTAAATTGCTCCACTTGCTTGATGGCTTCTTTGTAAGGTTGGAAACTACTTTTACTGAGACTCTTTTTCAGTAGTTAAGCTTTGTCCCCCACTATTGTGGGGGAGCAAATCTGGTTTATTCATACTCTAGGAGTACCTCTAATGGTAGTCCAGGGCAAGAAGAACCATGTTCAGCAGTCTGTAAACCAATCTTGTCTTAGCCTGGTTTCTCTGGCCTCCCGTGCCTCTAGGGCCCATGGTGCCCCTGCGTGTGGGTCTGTCCATCGTTGACTTACACTGAAAAGGCTGGTGAGAGCATCAGGCTGAGTACAGCTGACGTCATCATAGCATGGCCACACTGTTCTCCGCTGGCTCTGAGGCCCAGCTCCTCCAGCCAGGTCAGAGTCTTCAGAGGGGAGGTGCCTGGGGGTCAGCATCATCCAGTCATAGGAAGGCCCCATGGACAGGGTCTCCTCTGTGTAGTAATCCCACTTTCTGAGGCTGGAGACATTTACATTGGGCTTTAAGGCCTGTTTAAAGAAAAGTGAAATATAGTTTCATCTTGACCTCAAGTACCCCAAGCTCACTGACAGACCAACCCCTGACATTTGCAAGATATAGGGCAGTGATTTTCAACCAGTATGTGGCGGTACATTGGTGTGCCATGACAAAAATGTTTTTTTCTTTTTTTTGCAGTTTTTGGCCAGGGCTGGGTTTGAACCCGCCACCTCTGGCATATGGGGCCAGCGCCTTACTCCTTTGAGCCACAGGTATTGCCTGCCATGAAAAATTTTAAAGACCATTAATTATTTTCAAAAGAAGCTCAAAGCACAGTAAGTACATTCTTTTTTTACTCTTTTTTTTACTGATCAACATAATTTAAGCATGCCACAGAAATTTAACTATAGGTTTAAGTGTGCCATGAGATAAAAAAGGTTGAAAAACAATGGTCTAGGGCAAAAGTATGAATGGAGGTTCAAATACCATAAATTGCCTAAATTACCAAATGCCTAAATATTTATAGTTATACATCAAGATAAACTATTCAATAAAACATGTTCCAATCCTCCTACTTTCTAGTGACCTGGAAGGCCAGGTTCAAATAAAAAATTCTTGTATTTCTCAGAATTTTATATTAGAAGTGGTGGCACTGGGGGAGCTGTCCCCAGCTCTGATTCCTTGGCCTGACCCCTTATCCTCCCACCTCAGCTCTATCTTATATACTAAGGGTCTGGTATGAATGGCCACAGCCCACAAAGCCAAACTCTGTCCACTCCCTGCCAAATAGCTACTTCTTGCCACCCTTTGGGCCTCAGGATATATTCACTGATTTGACAGACTCAGGGAGAAGGAGCCTGATGAATTTGGGCAAGGAATGTCAAAGTACCCAGAGCATGGCTTAGACAAAGGAGGGACATCTCAGCCGTGCTCTGGGTACTCTGACATTCCTTGCCCACGTACCTTTAGCTTCTTGGACTCCTGAGGAGAATATAGCTGGACGAAGGCCAAACTAGGGTCTTGTGCCTGGGGTCCAGGGCAGGAGCCTCTCTAAGGTATTTCAGATTCTTCTGCTTGGACCCCTTGTTGGGCTTTAAAATTCTGTGAGTTCTTTTTTCCTGGGAAAAGCTGCCTTGCTTTTTGATTCTCTTGAAGTTCAAGGTTTTGGGGGCCAGGTCCTAATTTTTGTGGCAAGAATTCGGTGAATAATCTCTGTTTTTATCACCAGCCAAATCCATAGTGTCTCAAACTTTTAGTATGAAACCTAGTGAAATGTTTTTTAAAAAGCTTGACAGCCTGAGATACTAAAACGAAGGAAAACTTTTAACACAAAACATTCAGAGAATGAAGCAGGAATTATTTCTTACTCTACCTCTATTTCCACTGGTGAATATAAATAGTTAAAGAAAACGGGACTCCTCCTGTGCATCTTGTCAATGCACTCCCAAATGCAAATTCCTTTCTTGGCATGCTTGTCTCCTTTGTCATCAAATAAAGTTCCTGTAAATCCAAAACAAACCCAACAAAAGAAAAGTTAAAGAAATTAACAACATGCCTAAAAGTATGATGTATGTGGCAGATAAAAAAGTGGAATACGTTTTATGGCTCTAAAAACAGCAACATATATGCAGAAATCTTAGAAAAAATAACAGTAAGAGAAAGACAGGAATGAACTTCATAGCTATATGGAAAACAAATCCAGCTATCTGATAAGGTTTTCTTAGGCAGTTGATCAGCACTCTCTTCCCATCTGCAGCCACATCTGCATCTACGGTCACAGAGGTCTGTGACATTCTACACATTTTTCAAGAGAAAATGGAAGGACTTAAGAGTAGATTTGATGAAACTCAGTTAAAAACATAATTTTATGTTTCTTTTTTAAGTTGTTGGTTGTTTATTACGAAGCCAGTTAAAGTGTCTTCTTGCTTAGCAGTTTATACATACCGCAAATCATAGTCACTGAGACTCTGGAGGATGACAGAAGGGTGTGGTCTCTATCCGTGAGTGACTTAAAAATAAAAGCAGAACTTAGGGGCGCAATTCAGAGATTTTCTGATGCAAACTTTCTACCTTTCAAATAGTCAATTTATTACTGACATAGGCCCACTTTGTTTTTAATAGGGAGGAAAATGTGTCAGGGTGAGGTAAGAGGTATTTCTTTTCTTTTCTTTTTTTTTTTTTTGAGACAGAGCCTCAAGCTGTCCCCCTGGGTAGAGTGCCATGGCATTACAGCTCACAGCAACCTCCAACTCCTGGGCTCAAGCGAGTCTCCTGCCTCCGCCTCCCAAGTAGCTGGGACCACAGGCGCCCGCCACAATGCCCCGGCTATTTTTTGGTTGCAGCCATCATTGTTGTTTGGTGGGTCCGGGCTGGGGATTCGAACCCGCCACCTTGGGTGTACGTGGCTGGCGCCTTAGCTGGTTGAGCTATAGGTGCCGAGCCGTAAGAGGTATTTCTTTAAAAGCCCAGGAAGAGTATCTCTCTTAGCAGTGTTGTCTTGCTTTGAATGAAATGATTTAGTCAAAAATCAACACATATTTTATCAATTTATCAAAAAAGAATGTCTCAAGCCCAAGGTTGTACAAAATTCTATAATATATGGGGGTCCTTTTTAACTGTAGGGTCCAGTGCAGTGGTTCTGAGTGAAAAAATCCCAATGCCGGCCAGGCATGGTGGCTCACACCTGTGATACTAACACGCTGGGAGGCTTAGGCAGGAAGATTCTTTGAGCTCAGGAGTTTGACCACCCTGAGCAAGACCAAGTCCCATTTCTACTAAAAATAGAAAAACAAGCTGGGCATTATGGTGGGTGTCTATAGTCCCTGCTGCATGGAGGCTGAAGCAAGAGGATTGCTTGAGCCTAGGAGTTTGAGGTTGCTGTGAACTGTCATGCCATGGCACTCTACCCAGGGTGACAGAGTGAGACTCCGTCAAAACTGCCCCCCCAACCAAAAAAACCTAATGCCTAGGTCTCATCTCAGACCAATTAAATCAGAATCTCTGGGGAAGGGCCCAAATCAGTGATTTCCAACTGGTGTACCATGAGCAGATCTTAGGTGTGCTGTGAAAATTTTAAAGATCAGGCTTAGTGCTTGTAGCTCAGTGCTTAGGGTGCTGGCTACATACACTGTGGCTGGCAGGTTCGAACCTGGCCCAAGCCTGCTAAACAACAACAAAGATAACAACAACAAAAATAGCCGGGTGTTGTGGCAGGCACCTGGAGTCCCAGCTACTTGGGAGACTGAGGCAAGAGGTTCACTTGAACCCAAGGGTTTGAGGTTGCTGTGAGCTAAGACACCCCAGCCCTTGAAGTGAGACTGTGTCTCAAAAAACAAAACAAAACAAAAATTTTTAAAGATCATTAATTAAATTATTGTTGAAAGAAGTTCAAAGCACAGTAAGTATATTCTTTAAAACAATTTTTTTTGATCAACATAATTTAAATGTGCATGAAAGTTTTAACTATAGGTTCAAGTGTGCCATGAGATAAAAATGGTTGAAGAACACTGACATAGGCTCAGCACTTGTGGCTAAAGGTGCCAGCCACATACACCTAAGGTGGCAGGTTCGAATCTAGCCCAGGCCCACCAAATAACAATGACGGCTGCAATCAAAAAATAGCTGGGTGTTGTGGTGGGCGCCTGTGGTCCTAGCTACTTGGGAGGCTGAGGCAGGAGACTCGCTTGAGCCCAGGAATTGGAGGTTGCTGTGAGCTGTGATGCCACGGTACTCTACCCAGGGGGGACAGCTTGAGGTTTTGTCTAAAAAAAAAAAAAAATACTGACCTAGATCTTAAGTCATTTTAAAAATTCAAGTGACTCTAATGTCCAAAAGTTGAGACTGCTCTAGGGGTTAGAATGAATTTTTAAAAATAGAGATGAGGTCTTGGTATGTTGCCTAGGCTGGTTTCAAACTTGTGGCCTCAAATGATCCTGCCATCTTAGCCTCCCAAAGTGCTGGGATTATAGTTGTGAACCACCTCACCTGGCCTGGAGTGGATTTTTTTTTTTTTTTTTTGAGTCTCACTTATTGCTCTCAGTAGAGTGCAGTGGCATTACGACTCACAGCAACCTCTTTTGCCTCAGTCTCCCAAGTAGCTGGTACTACAGGTGCCTGCCACAACACCCAGCTATTTTTTTTCTTGTTGTTGCAGTTTGGTTGGGGCTGGGTTTGAACCCGCCACCCTGTAGGATACAGGGCCAGCATCCTACTCACTGAACCACTGGTGCCATCCCTGGAGTGGATTTTTAAAGTCACCTCTTTTAATGGCACCACTTGGGGCCTTGAGGCATGGATTACATTGCAGGGCCTGTGGTAGTCAGCCTTAGCTGGAATAGACTCTGGCACCTTTGCAGACAGGGAGACAATAAACTGAAAGCAGAAGAGAAGAGGCAATACCTGAACTCCCTCCCCCTTCTCAGCCATGGTAACACTTGGTAATTAGAACCAAGTCCAATGGGCTTCTCTTACACTGCTCATATGGCTGGCTTAGAGCAGCATGTACACATTCAGGGAATACTTTAAAACAGTTTGAATTAATCAGTAGCTAGTGTGAAGTCCGATATGCCAGTATGTGATAATCAACACATTTATCTTTTAGGGCACAGGAAAGTTCATTGTATTTAGGCTTTTCTAGTGAAATTTTAAAATTATGACTAATGAATTCCACTAGCAGTGGTTGAAATTCCTTACTCTCCAATTCTTGATCTTGGTAGGTAGAGAGTAGTTACCACAGCTGTTCCTAAACAGTGTTTCACTGTGTAGGTTTGATAATTACTGTGTCTTCCCAAACATTACAGGGACACACTTCAAGTAGGCAACACATTCTGGAGTAAGGACACAAAATTATGCTTCCCTGATGTAATAGAGAGAGGGCTGGATAGATGATCTATGGACCTTCAGACTAACTTCTAGGATTCTAAATGCATATTTATGTGTTTTTTTTTAAACTTTATTTTCATATTTATGTGTCTTAAGAGAGAAAACATGCATTCAGGATAAAAAGAATTACATTTCCAGATAATTATCATAATCTTTTAATATGCACCAAAAATCTTTTTATCCACATCATTTTATTTAATCTTTTTTTTTTTTTTTAAAAAGAGATGGAATCTCACTTTGTTGCCCTGGGTAGAGTGTCGTGGCATCACAACTCACAGCAACCTTCAGTTCTTGGGCTTAAGTGATTCTCTTGCCTCAGCCTCCTGAGTAGCTAGGACTATAGGCGCCCAGCACAATGCCTGGCTATTTTGTTGTTGTTGTTGCAGTTTGGCCTGGGCCAGGTTCGAAACCACCATCCTTGGGACATGGGGCTGGTGCCCCAATCACTGAGCCACAGGCGCTGCTCTTATTTAATCTTTCAACAGCCCTATGTGACAGGCAGGGCTATCCTTACTTAGTTTTTCAGATGAGGAAACTGAGGCTTAGAGAGATGAAGTAATTTACCCAAAGTTACACACATTTTCTGACCCTTAGTACAGTGTTCTCCCCACTGGATCAGGGCTGGTTCTCAGCCTTGGTAGCACAGTGGACTCACCTGCGGAGCTTTAAAAGCTGTTAATGTCTGGGCCCCACCACCATAGATATAGATTCTGATTTACCTGGTTGGGGATGTTACCTGGATGTTGGAAAGTTTTTTAAAAATTTATTAAAAAAAAATATATTAAAACCTCAATAGGTAAAATTATTTTTATTAAGGCAATAATAATATATCAGTCAAAAATCCAATAAAAATAACTCATTAAGAAAGGAAAATAAAGAAATGTATTAATCTCATTCATGAAAACTGCTTCAGAAATCTTAAAATATTAACAGAATCCTGGAAGCATATCAAAAGAATATTACATCATGAATAGATCAAAAGAGAAATTGAAAGATCATCACCATCGATGCTGAAAAGCTACTAGGTGAATATATACAAGTGCTTCTGTAATATGATTAAAATTAGAGGAATGAACTTAGGCCCCAAACCGGTCTCATGCTTAATGAGGAAATGCTAGAAACCTTCGTACGCAAGTCAGTGCACGTTAAGAATTGCTGGAAGTTTTAAAAGCTGCCCAGGTGATTCTAATGCTCAGTCAAGTCTGAGAACTGCTGTGCTTGACCTTGTTTCCTTAAGGAGGAGAACCATCCTCTGCTACAGCAGTCTTTGGCCTTATCTGCATGCTGCTAGGTAGTTCGCTCATCAGCTTAAGTTAGCAAAACAAACTGCTCTATTTAAAAATGAAAACAAAAAGCCCAACCAAACAAAATAAAAACTCCTCCAAGAGACAAAACACCTGTAAGTGCACATGTTGTTCCCTTCAGTGATGAAGCTGAGTTACAATGTAACCCCTCAGGTACAGGTCAGTGCACTTAATGATGGCGATGTGAAAAGTGACAACTCTAAGTCAACAAGGATCTGGAAGGATAAGCAGGGTGAGAAATGGTCTCACCAGTGCTCTTTCCCTTAACAAAAGTATGAAATATCATGAGAGACGATTTCAATAGCATGTCTTGGAAAGCAGTATTTCC